TAGCACCCCACCCCCCGTTCCAACAAAGCAGAAAAGTCTAGCAACTTCAGGCTCCTGTCTTTTCAAACCGGCAGAGCCCTCTCAAAACTGAACAAGGGCGCTATTCAACCCGCAAAAACTCGAACCAGGAAGCGCTTTCTGTTGCTTTTTCCAAGCCTCACAGTCTCGATGGGCCCGTGAACGATCGATAGGCTCGTCGTGTATCCAGAGAAGCGTTTGGCTACTGTATTCCATTTAAGGTTCCTCAGTAGGCACTGAAGAACCTAGTGCAATTATTTAGGCCCCTCTTTGACAAGCGTTGGGTTGAGACTTGATTTGAGTGTCCGCAGTTTTAGGTCGGCTGGCTTCTGAAAAGGTGTTCACACATATTTGGGATACGGTTTCCTTTAAGGTACCTGCTCGTGATTCGTGACTTTTGGGGGACATCAGATCCCTAAACTAAACCCTAAACCCTACACCCCAAACCCTACTCCCTGGACCCTGAATCATAAACCGTTTCGGTGTTTTGTTAGGGTTTAGGGTTTAGAGTTGCAGGGGCCGGTCAGGGCTTCAACATGGTTTCACACCTAGAGCCTTGATCTCGAACAAAAAAGCCGCAGAATTTACCCCGAAAATCAGCGAGAGTCCTATGAACAAAACTCTATGAAACCTTATAGAGCCCCAAACTCTAAACCCTAGACCGTCTAGACCCTAAACCCCTCAACCCTAAACCCTAAACCCTAAACTCTAAACCCTAAACCCTAAACCCTAAACCCTAAACCCTAAACCCTAAACCCTAGACCCTAAACCCTACGCCCTCCTTTGAATGAAGCCGACGCCCTCTACCAGCTCCCTGGTCGGTCGCCCGAGCTCGGGCTCGCTTTAGCCTAGGTTCCCCAGTAGTACCCCTTTCGTTGCCCTTCTTGCAGTTTTTTGGGGGTTTTAGGGTTTAGGGTTTAGCCTTCTTGCAGTTTTTTGGGGGTTTTAGGGTTTAGGGTTTAGGGCCCTTCTTGCATTTTTTTGGAGGGGTTCCTAATAGGGCTCCTTAAACGGTTCTATGCGGGATCTACAGGAGTTAGTACCCTTGTTGCCCTTGTTCTTTTCTGGGCTCCCTCTTCAAAACAAACGCAGTCGGAAAAAAGGGTACCCTTGTTAAGTGGATTATTCGGGGGCTACTGGGGAAACTAGTAGCCCTAAACCCTAAACCCTAAACCCTAAACCCTAAACCCTAAACCCTAAACCCTAAACCCTAAACCCTAAATGGGGAAACTAGTAGCCCAGGAGAGGCCTCGATTTCTCACAGCGCAGCGGTCAAAAAGAGGGCACTCCGAGTCCGACTGCAACGAGTCCTTCATTGCGGAAGGTACCGTACCGTTACTTCATTTCCTTCTTGGTTCGGTTTTCCGATACATATTAATATATATATATACATGTGTATATATATATCTATATTTATATCTATATATATATATATATCCTAAACCCTTAATCCCAAACCCCCAAACCCTGAACCCCTAATCCCAAACCCCTAAACCCTAACCC